CTCGTGTCTTCAGCCCTGGCCCAGGCTGCCCAGGGAGGCTGTGGAGTCTCCTTCTCTGGAGATATTCCAGCCCCACCTGGACAAGGTCCTCTGCAGCCTGCTCTGGGTGACCCTGCTTGGACAGGGGGCTGGGCTGGGGGACCCACAGAGGTCCCTGCCGACCTCAAACACTCTGGGATTCAGACCACTGCTGGGTGAAGCACCAAAACAATCCAGACTTGGGGTTCAGCAAGCGAAGCAGCTGCGTCTCGCCGTGGTGGAGCGTGTTCCTCGGTGGGAGGTGACCCCGTGGAGTTCCTCAGACTTGTCAGACCGTGGTCCTTCCAGAGCAGGTGGATGTGGAGGGAGGTACCTGCGCTCCGTGCGTTGGGGCTGAGCCAGAAGACGTCCATAGGTGCCTGTCCACCACCTGATGCCCGTGGTGGGAGGACAGAGCCTGCTCTGAAGGCTCCAGGAGAAGACTTTGTGTTGGGCTGCTCGGGCAGTCCCAAACCCATCTCCATAAACTGCAAATCGCTTCTGCCTGGGCTTTTTTTCTCCCTCCCCTTCATTTTTTTGCGTCCTGGTGGGACGCAGAAGCATCTCAGAAATGCTCAGGGGGGTTCGGAGCAGCAGCTGCCCAGCGTGGGCAAGAACGTGCGAGCGCGGACGCGCGTCCCCGAGCTGCCCCCTGCTCCGGAGCAGCCGGTGTGGGGGTGGTGAGGGGCTTAATTACTCTCGCTAATGAGTTAGCAGCGATCCATAGGGAAGAGAATCCCAATATCCTGCGTGAGCTCGTGGGTGGAGGCTGGAATCCGGTGGGAAGAGCCTGCTGGAGGGGCACAAAGCTCCATGGGGAGCTGCCAGCAGCGTCCTCCCGGCCTCTCCAGGGCGTGGGATGGGGCTTTCTGTCCCCTTTGTCCCCTCTCCTGGGCCGTGAGGCGTTTCCAGAGCCCCTCTGCTGTCTCGGGGAGGGAGAATTTCTCGCCACGGTTCCTCTGCGTTGCTCTGTCTGGGCAGAGGAGGAGAGGACAGCACGGGTCTTCGTCCCTGCTTCTGCTGCGCGAGGTTCAGTCCGAATTTAGAACCCCAGACCGGTTTGGGTGGGAAGGGACCTGACAGACCCCCCAGCCCACCCCCCAGCCACGGGCTGGGACCCCTTCCC